TTGCATCCACACCCCCTGCTGGTACAAACCACGGAATACAAACTGTATCAAGATACCTTGCTAATGGGGTAGTTTGTAGAAGGGTTGCTGCTCAATAAGGTTTTTAAGACAATCCACTGAAACAGCACTTAAAAAAAAAAAAAAACAGGCTAGTTCCAACGGTGTTTGAAAACAGTTGGCCCCAAATGGTTCCATTTTAGCAGGGTTCTGACTCCAGTTTCACAATGAATGAGGGAGTGAAGGGGAGGAGACTGCGAAAGACAAGAGCAAGGAGTCAGTCACTGGAGCACAGACTGCGTGGATCTGACAGTTCAGTTATTTGACCTGTAGGCTGGGTCTCTCACTGCAGCCAACAAGAATGTAGGGTTTCAACCTTTTGCCAGTGAGCTTGGCCTCTTGTCAACTTAATACAACAGTTAAGACTAAATGCCTCAATGTCCTTCATAAACCCTCCCCACCGGGCACACTATCCTCTCATAACCTGGGAGTCCTCTTCAACTCCCCTCTTCCCCCCATCCCCTCCGCCGCTCCCATCCAGGAGAATCCAGTCCACATCTCCTCCTCCAAAATATTTCACCTTTTCTCTGTCTGCACAGCTAAAAACCTCTTCCTGACCCTAGTCATCTGTCCCTAGGGTATATACCCTTCCCCTATGTGGCCTCCCCAACCCCCATCTTAGCAGTGGCTGCATGGACTGGAGGGGGCTAAGATCTTCCTAGCCAGTTCTTCAGGCTGTATCAGCCCCATCCAATTCCCTCTACTGGCTCCTTCCCCACTACACTAAGTTCAAAATTCTTGCCATCACCTTCAAAGGCACTACTTAGTTCTGCCCATCCTCTCTTATTGATCCTCCTTATTCCTTCACTCAGTTAATAATGACAACCTCAAGGCCCCATATCAGACTCCTGAGCTTTCTTCCAAGCTTGGCCCTACACATGGAACATCCTTCCTGAACTGGTCCACAAATGCCCTCCCCTCCACACGCTCCCTACCCATCTCCTTCATTGGGTCGTATCTGGCATTGGTTTGTGAGCTCCTCAGGGAAGGGATCAGGCCTTTGTAACACAAAGTGGAAGTTTTATGGCGCTCAAGACTCAGGAATAGTTCCAATGGAGAAAGACATTTCTCCTCAAAACAAAAATAATATTTAGACTAAAAGACTATTTTTTGTTTTTAAATTAGCAAATGCATGTCCTACTTTTCTACTCCAGAGAGGTCAATGCTCCCACAAGACTTTTGACACACAGGGAATGGGAAGGAGACCTTTATAAATACTCCTCTCTAGGAGTTTACAAACACAAGTGCCCATTTTAATCAGACCTCATCATCTGCCAGTTCAAAGGGACTCTGTCATGGGACTACAAGGCAAATTAGGATTTATTTTTAACCTAGTGTAAAACCGTTGCTTAGATACCCACAAGAGAAATGTACCAAATCTGATTGGAAGGCGGAATTTAAAATTGCTTCTCCCCACCCCACAAGAGATTACCCCATAAATATTATTTCAAAACAATCCCTAGATCAAGACAAGCTTTGGCTTTTGCTCGGAAAAGGCCATGTCTATATCAAAGCGAGAGACATGCTAGCAGGGCTCTGGCATCTTTTCCCAAGCCATGCCCTACTCAGCAGAGTAGGGCTAAATCCTCTCCTTCCTATTGGGAGGGGCAGTGTGTGGAGCGCAAAGCAGAGCTGGCTGCAAATATATACCAAGAGACCACCCGCTGGAGTGGGGCAACGTAGCTTCAAGCAGGTGCATGCCTTGAGCATGGGTGAAATTCATCTGCATACACAGATCCAACCACTTAAGCAGTGCACAGACCTCGATTTCAAAGCAATGTTCTAGTCACTTCGGGTATGTCTACCCTACAATTAGACACTCGTGGCTGGCCTGTGCCAGCTGACTCGGGCTCGGGGGGCTGTTTAACTGCAGTGTACACATGCTGAAGATAGACAGGACAGGATTCCGCACTTATACCATTCACATTCTACTCTAGTCATGTTCTTCTGCATTGTAGTTCAGTCCAGCTAGCCACGGCTGCAGCCAACTTGCTTGTGACCCCACTAGAGACAAGGCCAAAACTGGACCTTCCCCTACTCCTTTAGGCAAATCCATTCTAGGTGGGATTGTCAGAAATGCTCAACACTGGCCTAACTGTGCTTCCATTAAGTCATTGCTAAGAGTCCCATCCATTTCCATGGGAACAGATTAAGGCCAAAGCAGAGCAATGTTGAAAACCCCAGTCTGTGTGCCTGTCACAGGGCACAAGCCTGTTGATTTCCCTATTATAACAAGGGCAGAAGTTGGCTCCTTGGCCAGGTCTACATGGGGATACTCAGGGCATGTCTACACTTACCTCCGGAGCAATCGATCCAGCAGGGCCACCCAGAGGATTCAGCACTTTGGCGGCGGGTCCCGGGGCGGAAGGACCCCCCACCGCGGGTCATCGGGGCACTTCGGCGGTGGGTCCCAGAGCGGAAGGACCCCCCGCCACGGGTCATTGGGGCACTTCGGCAGCGGGTCCCGGAGCGGAAGGACCCCCAGCCGCCGAATTGCCCCCGAAGACCCGGAGCGGAAGAAGCTCCGGGGGCCCAGGCCCCGCAAGAGTTTTCCGGGGCCCCCGGAGCAAGTGAAGGACCCTGTTCCAGGAGCCCCAAAAAACTCTCATGGGGGCCCCTGCGGGGCCTAGGGCAAATTGCCCCACTTGCCCCCCCCTCTGGGCAGCCCTGCGATCTTCTAGTGAAGACGCAATAATTGACTGCCAAGCTCTCTCCCGGTGACACTGGTACTCCACCGGAGCGAGAGGTACAGGTAGGGTTACCATTCGTCCGGATTCCCCCGGACATGTCCGGCTTTTTAAGCTAAAAATAGCGTCCGGGGGGAATTTGTAAATGTCCGGACTTCCCCCTGATGCAGAGCCCGCGCGGTTAACAGTGCTGCCGCCGACGGTGCCACTTACATGGGGCTCCGACACTCAGCCAGAGAGAGCACGTCCTCCTCCTCCTCCC